CCTAGAGGTATTTTTCCACATGTCTAAGCAGCCAAGTGGTTTAGGGGGGAAGGCACTGGCTTCATGTCCCAGGCAGTCTCTCAGTAACTGTGTGTCCACAGGGCATTTGCTCTGCTTGCTGAGCCTCGATAAGGCATAGGCAAAAGCAATGGCCTCAGAGCTGGGGTGGGTGAATCTGCCAGCACAATGCCATACACTGATTACCTTCCCCAAAAACGGTTCTTATCGAATGCCTTGTTCCATGGAAAGGCAATTGGTCACAACACTTTCTATGCAGAAAAGGAAGGAAGGAAGGAAGGAAGGAAGGAAGGAAGGAAGGAAGGAAGGAAGGAAGGAAGGAAGGAAGGAAGGAAAGAAGCCTGTTCACTTCCACTTCCTTAGTGAGAATCCAAAGTCTAAAAATTATATAAAGCAATTTTCAAAATTATACTGCAAGCTATGTATATGTGCATGTATTAAGTACTATATCTTTCTGAACACATCTGGATTCCTTTATCTCTCTCTTTCTCTCTCTCTTCCTCTCTCCCTATCTGCACCCCAACTCCTTCCCTCCCCCCTCCCTCTCTCTCTCTCTCATACATGCACACTCACACGAATTGAATCCTGATGCAATGTTATCTCTCTCATTCCCAAACATGTGCCTAACACTTGTTCAGATAATAGATATCTTTTCGCTAGCCAGTTAATTTGAACAATAAAAATACATGAGGATTTTATAGAGATAAGGCCCCCAAGAGACCCCAAGATGCTGGTAGCTGCTTGTTCGGTGATGGAAGACTTCTGTGATGAAGAAGTGGAAGACAACAGACAAAGTCTCCTCTGTTTTCACCACTTGCTGGGCTCCAAGGGGGGGAGGGGGGATGCTCTGTGTGACACCGAATTTCACATTGCTTTTTATGGGCAGAGGGTCCATATCTACGTGGCACCTCTGGATTTAAAAGAGGGAATTAAAACCTCAGACTAATGTTTTTTGCTGAACAACATGTCTGCCAAACTAAGCTCTCTCACTGACTTCCGGTTTTCGGAGTCCCGGCCTCCGAAGTCGTGCTGGGTTTCCAGGACTGAGCCAACTGGGCCCACTGCGCCTAAGGCACCGGCTTGGGCCACCACCTCTCGGCTCCAGTTGGGAAAAGAGGGTGAGAGGTTGTCTGAGGACCACTTCTCAGAGCCGCTGGGTGGCTTGGGGGAGCCCAAAAGAGCCAGACAATTGCTTTAGATTCCTGATCTGGATGTGGCTGGCTCCTGTGGGCCTCAGTGACAGCACTGCTGTGCTCCCCCAGATGACATGGGGAAAATAATTCTAGCAAGCACCGGGGAAAGAAAATCACACACTCCAGCAGTAAGTCTGGGCCTGCCTTCCCCGCCTCTTAAAAGACCATTTTGCAAGGCGGTGAGAGGCCTTGCTTAGCTTCCTAACTAAACAATGGAACACTTTGCAGCCTTCACCTAACCCGCTTCCTCACGCCCCCAGATCTCAGGCCCGACTTCTCACCTTTCCCCTGGAACAGAGGCACCCCAGCTTTTTGTCCCACACACAGTGAAGCGATATCCATCACCAGCTAACAAACAGGTTATTCTTGGACCACGACTGGTTCTGGCAAGATGCTCGGGCCCATGCAGGCAAGGATACATGAGAAGAAAATTCTCCAGTTCTGCTCGCCGGGGCCACTGCCCTCACTGTCATCCTCAAAATTCCCACAGAAATGAGCTCATTCCGCCTTGGAAACATTTCGGAGCTTACAAGTTTAAATCAGGCCAAGTTGATTTTGTGGGGGGTGGTTTTCAAGCTTTTAAAGAGTAATTATATGCAGGACTTTGTGCCACCTATTTCCTCCCAACTGTAACATTTTACATCTTTTTTAAGCATACGTGGAGGTTAGTTTTTTTTATTTTTTTATACATGTTATGAAATAAGATATGAACTTATGCTCAGTATTCGGTCCCTTTTTTGCCAAAAGGCTGGACCAACACAAACTAAATATGACTATTTCCTTTATCCAAAGCACAGTTTTGACTATTACATACCCTCTTAACGTACATACATAAAACCAGTCACAACCAAAGCTCCCCACAGGTCAACCAGACTCCTAACCAGACTTTCCTTTCATCTAATCTGATTAACAAATGTCAGCTAAGCAGACTCCTGAGAGACTCCAAAGAATAAAACAAAATAACTCAAAGCGACGCCAAGTAGTAAAGTAAGTGGACGGCCTTTCCATTTTTCTCCTGGCTTTTTCATGCATCCACTCAGCAAATAGCCTCTTTCACTTGCTTGTAGGCATGTGCCTTGGAGGCAGATGAAAACAACAGGAGAATGAGTTCCCAGCTCTGATATTTGCAAAAATATGCCTTTCACACCGCTGACCTTGGTTTCCTCGTCTGTAAAATAGGGGTAAAAGCCTCTCGAAAGATTTTTTTTGAAGGAGTCAGTGAAATAGTGCAGACTTGGATAAGCGCCACAAATAAAGTGGCTGGTACATATTTGTCGCTATTGCTTATATTATCCATCTGTTAAATAGGACTGTCTTCCAACCTAAGTGTCAAAATGCTAGGCAGCCTCATGGTCATGGGCTACAGTGGGAAGTTACAAGAGCATCTGGTCATCCAGCTATTCTTACTCAATGGTTTTGAAATATATTTTTATTGATGTCAGAGAGGAAGGGAGAGGGGGAGAGAAAGAGAAACATCAATGATAAGAGAATATCATTGATTGGCTGCCTTTTGCACGCCCCACACTGAGGATTAAGCGTGTAGCCTAGGCATGTGCCCTGACTGGGAATCAAACCATGACCTCCAGGTTCATAGGTTGTTGCTCAACCACTGAGCCACACCAACTGGCTATTCTTACTCCATGTTACCAAGTCATTACAAATGTTTGTGAAGCAACAGTGACTATAACTTGGGTCCCAGGACCCCAAACCCATGCACGGCCATAGAGCACAGCACTGAGCCTTTGCTAGGGATAACGTGAGTGAGAGCACCGGAGTCCCAAGTGAGCACGTTTCAAAAGAATTCCACTCAAGGCAGATACCCCCAAATGTTCCTTCAGGACATACATGGACCTACTCTCCTTCCAAGCTTAAGCAGTGCTTTCCTGAAATAGACATGACTTTCACTGGATTACCAGCAGATGCATTTTTTTTCCTCTCTTCCGAGTCACTCCTTGCAGGATTCTAGGCCTGAGCTGATGATCAGGAAGCCCACACTTTGAGAGAAAGAACTTCTTCCCGCAGGGTGTGGTCCCGAAAAGGGGAATGCTCTGCGGGAAATTTTTCGCAACATAATTTGGGAACCCTGTGCAAAACCCAAGCGGCTATTTACACTTCGAGCACAGGGATATCGTGGAGGAGAACAACAATATTTTCACATGTGCTCGGAGCTCCAAGCTTTTAAAGGTTCATCGGGGTAATTTCCTCTGAAGAGAGTAAGATAAAATAATTCACTCACAATATCAAGATAAGAGAAATTGAAAGGGGGATCATACCCCCCCCCCCATACACACACACACACACACACTACATTTGTAAATATATAACTGTGTCAAAATTTAAATGCAGAGCACCTTTTCAACAGGCCCTTTAGGGAAAGGTCATGAAGGGCAGCTCAGAAACACAAAATCTGAAAAGCCTGCCTCTCTGAGCCCTTTCCTGATGTTTCTCTTCTCAGCCAGCGAAAGGCATTTTCGCCTGTGATTCTGTTCATTTCCTCAGGGCAGTGGTCGGCAGACTCACTAGTCAACTGAGTCAGCTATCAACAGTATGACTGAAATTCCTCTTGAGAGCCATTGTTTTAAACTTAAACTTCTTCTAATGCCATTTCTTCAACATAGACTCGCCCAGGCTGTGGTATTTTTGTGGAAGAAAAAGCCACACTCAAGGGGCCGAAGAGCCGCAGTTTGCCGACCACATGCGCAGAACCTGACCGTCCCCGTTGGATACAGGCATGCCCCCTCACCCACTTACCATTGCGCAACATGGTCCTCCTCTCTTGTCATGAGAGAGTTTGGACAGTTTGAACCCAGATGGCTGGGCGCCCACCTACTCTGAAAGGACCCCCTTTGCCAGCTCCGTGCAGAAAGCAGACCTGATCACCAACGTTCACCTCTCTCTCTGGAGCCTCAAAAGCTCGCACGGCCTTCATGTACTTCCAACAGGGTGTGTGGTGGGCAGCCTTTCGCTGAGGCTTGCCAAAGGTGATTGGCATGGAAAACTCCCTTAGAAACGTGGCTCTTTGTGAGTCTATATTCCATCTCAGAAACTCATATTCATATAACTTAATCTCCCCCATGTGGTTACTTACTAGTTCTTATCATTAACTATTAAGCTAAAATAAACTGGAACAAATTCTTTTTTTTTTTTTTTTTTTAATCTACGGCCACTGCCGTTAACAAAGGGTTAACAAAGCAGCTGACGGCCAAGTGTCATTCTCTATTAAGAACCGAATATCCTTCCTGACTCACTTTTCCAAATCCAAAATATAATAAGGACGGTTTTGAGCGTTTAGGTTCTAACAGGCCAAGAAATTCCAGGCGACACCTTGTCCTCAGGTTTGTCCTCTGTAACTGTCACTCCTCTCTCCCCTTGTCCCGCACCTTATCACTGGTAAGATAGCTACCTGTTATCTCGCCATTTTCACACTGAGCTCAGATGACAGAATCGAGGCAGAAAGTTGGACGGCGCCTGTGACGTGATGGCAACAGCCATTCCTGGGAGCAGACAGTGCACACGGCAATCACCACTGGGTCAATGCCACACAAAGTCCCCCCTTAAAGCTACTTTTGTAAAGATGAGGTCAAAGAGACGAAGTCCCAGCCAGACGACACAGAAATTGCCAAAGTCCATCAAACTCAGAAATTCAGCTCAACTCCATCCTCCAGCTACGCGCAGCTTTGTAAGGACCGAAAACCATTTTTAAGATCTGGTTTAGGATTCCATTGAGTGGGTTCCCCTGGTCAGAGGGAGCCATTGGCTGGCTGCCCATGGCCTGCCCTCCCTACTTACCAAGCAGACACACATTATGCAGGGGTTGTCTGTGATAAACGGGATCTGGAGGACTTCACCTTCATTTTCACATTTTGCAACAGAACCTGAAATGAAGAAGAAGAAAAAATTATTTTTATTTTTAAATTTAGCTTATTGGCATTCCTACAAAATTAAAAATTTTTACACTAATCCTTTTTGAAATGACTACCCAAATTTCAGAAATTCCTAATGAGTTTTAAATGATCAAACTCACCAAAAATAAAAAAAATAATTCTATCTACCTCTGGGGGAAAAAATATTTTCTAAATAGTTTTATTTGAACAGGTTTTTGTTAAAAAAAAAAAAAAAAATAATAAAAAAAATAAAAAAAAAGACAGTAGCCATACGGGTTAAGCACAATTCGTGGGATCTTTAATAATACTCCTCCTTTACGCAGGAATTTCAACGGAACACACACACACACCCATATGAAAAATAGATCCAAATTGGCCATTCGAGCAGATTTTAAGTCCGAACACCATTCAGGGCCGTGTCAATGAAAAGGCCTTTTTATGAATCTGTCTCTTATTGTCTTGATTTGAAATCGCAATTTCTTTTCTCTCCTCTTAGAAATGGACTCAATATTTTCTCTTCTGCACCAGGTGTCAGTAAAGTATGTCCTTCAGAATAGCAATGGAAGCCCTCACCTGCCTGGAAACATGTAATTACTATATCCCGCTATTACTACCCTTTCAAAATAGGGTCGTTTCTTTTAAAATTTAAGGTCTGAAGAGCGGGTGCTACAAAAAGCACTCCTGACACGAGATATATGGGAACCTTAGAGAGTCAGAAAGAAGGATGTGTGAAAAAACCGTGCATATTTTTCCTTACTTGTGCCCGAAACAAGGGTTGAGGAGACTATTAAAAACAAATAAAGGGGCTTCTTCCATTCAGATAGAAGAAGGTCTATCCCTACATTGCTGTCAGCATCCTCTCAGCCCTTAACCTAACTCACCGCCTCCAACCCCTGAGCCCCGCGGGCTTCGCTGCATCCCCGCCAGCCAGAGAGGGGCAGGCGCTCCGAACCCTCCCCGCCCGGGGCGCCGGCGCCTCCTCTCCCAGGTGCCCTGCCGGCGCCCGGGCGGGCCGCTCCCTCCGGCCCCCTCCCCTACCTGTCAAGAAGGAGGAAGCCAGGGACATGGGGACCCCCGAGCAATTGAGCAGCAGCAGGACGCAGCAGGTAATCCCGGGCGAGCGCCCGCGGGGACGCTCAGCCGGAGCCCTGACGGCGGCGAACCAGCGCATCGTCACCTGGAGGGGGTCCCGGCCGCAGGTCCCGCGCCGCCGCCTCTCCGCCGCCGCCGCCCGCGATCAGAAAGGGCTCTCGGCGGGCGAGCCGGGAGACAGTCCGAGCGGGAGGGAGGGAGGCGGGCGCCCGGGAGCCGGGGGGGGGGGCGGGGAGGGCGGGGAGGCAGGGGGGCCGGGAGGGGGGGCGGCGGAGGGAGGCGAGGGGTGGGGTGGGGGGCGCCGGGGAGGAGGGGTCCTGCGGCCGGGCTCCTCCGAGGCGGCTTTTTTAGGGAGTTGCTCCCGAAGCTCTGGCGTCTGCCTCCTCGCCAGAGAGGGGGCCGCCGGGAGGAGGGGGTGTCGGGGCGGCCGGGACTGGCAGCGCTGCCCGCTGCGCACCCCGCCCCGCGCCGCCGGGGCTGCAGCCACGGCCCCGGGCGCTGCCACCGCCGCCGCGGCCCCGGCTCCCAGCTCCCGGCTCCCGGCTCCCGGCTCCCGGCTCCCGGCTCCCGGCTCCCGGCTCCCCGCCCGCCGGCGCGCACGCTCGCTCCCGCGCCGGAGCCGGGGCGCCCCGGGAGCCTCCGGGAACCCGCTGGGGGCGCCCGGGCGCCGGAGCCCCGCGCCCCGGACCGGTCCCCGCGGGGCGCCCAGCTCGCCCCCCGGGCCCTCGAGGGAGGCCGCCGGCCGCGGGGCGCGGATCTGAGCCGGCAGGCGTGTCCCCGCCGCCCCGCGCGCTCGGTGCCGCCTCCCTCTCCCCGGGGAGCCCTCCCCTAACGGGGGTGCCGCGCCACCCCTGCTCCCGCCCGGTGCCACAGTGCTCACAAGGGCGCGGAGAGTGGGGCTTGGGGGTGCCACACCACCCCTCCTCGCTCCAGGTGCCCAGCTTTGGGAAGGGGTGACAAACGGGGCGCAGGGGCGTTGGGGGGACTTTTCCCTTTGGGCTTGGCTTCCCCTGGCGGGGTGCGCCGGCGGGCTCGCGGGCCGGGCGGACGGAGCGGTCCGGATCCGCGCCCTGGGCTCGGGTGTCTGCGCGCCCGGACCCCACGGGGGGCAGAGGCAGGCAGGACGGGACACACAGGGGCGATTCATACATGCTCTTCGGCCCCGAAAAAGGAGGGACAGTCGCCCCAAGACTCCTCCCTTCCAACCTCGGGCGGGCCAGGGCGGGGAGATGAACCATTCATTCACCCGCGGAGAAGGAGGGACTGGCCGCGGCCTCCGCAGCGGGGAGTCCTGTCGCCGCCGCCGCGGGCCCCGGCTGCGCCCCGGTCGCCTCGCAGCCACGGGTGTCGGGGTGTCGGACCGCATCTCGGCCTCTCCCCCCACCCCCCAGCCCTGATACCCTCTGCTCCGAGGGAGGTGCTGCCTGCAGAGGGAGGAAGGGTTTTTGTAACCAAATTGTGCCTGTGCGGGGTGGGCATGAGGGGTGCTTGGGGCACGGGGCCTGACGGTCAGCGGTCCTCGGAGCTGACCGCGGTCCGCCGGCTGCCTCTCCCCGGGAGTGGAGCCTGGAGCCCGCACGCCGTCCCCCCGGGTGGGAGGCCCGGGTGGGTCCCAGGGGCTGTGCCCGGCCGCCACGCGCTTTCCCCGGCGGGACGCACGCCCCGGAGCCTCCCAGCAAAGCGGGTTCCCCGGCTGCCTTCCCAGAGACTGTGCCTTGGAAAACACGTTAGTTTGTTTGCTGACACATTTAGTCTAGTTTCATCCTAACCCCTCCCCGCTCGCGGAGCTGGGGAGGGGGGGAGGGAGGTGGTGTTTGTTTGTTTTCATTTTTTCGAGTGGTTTGGAGGTTTCCCTTAATGAATGCGGCATTGCCAGCGTCCTGGCACGCCAAGGAGCTCACAGGAGCGCGTTGCTCTGACGTGGGAAAAACAAGAGACGGGAAGGCTGTCATTAGCTTGGCACGCTCCATTTCCTTCGCCAAACAGATTTTTAGGGTAAAACTTAAATTAAAAGAGATGAAAGATGATGTGTGGTTGGGTTCCCCGCCCCCACTCCAAATAACCACCATGATCAGGCAGCTTCTTGAAAATCAGAGTGTGCTTAATGTGTTGATTAATCATAGAGAAAAAGAACATGCAAAAAGGAGAGAGAGAGGGAGAGAGAAAAAAACAGGCTTCCAATCTATAGTGACTGGCTAAAAAATAACATAAGAACTTACTGCTACAGATAAGTGTAATTGATTGAAACCACTATCTCCTCCATCTGCAAAGATTCCCCTGTGAGGTGTTTTAGCTGAGGGCGTTATTGGCAACTTCAGGAAATGGCAGAGTGGCCCCTAGACCAATGGTCCGCAAACTCATTAGTCAACAGTACAATGATTGAAATTTCTTTTGAGAGCCAATTTTTTAAAAAACTATATCGGTAGGTACATTGTTGTTAACTTAATTAGGGTACTCCTGAGCTGACCTTTACTAAAAACTCAAGGGGCCAAAGAGCCACATGTGGCCCGCAAGCCGCAGTTTGCTGACCACTGTCCTAGACGTCAGGGTAGACTGGGGTTAGTGCACATTACGGACATCAGGACGTGAAAGGAGCTGCAGGTGCCTTATTCCGATGTGCCCTCCCTGGCACCGGCCACACAGCCTCCAGGTTCCGCATGGCCAAGTCCTCATGATGGAATCCAGGCGTGTGTGGCACTTCTCTACCCAGGGACTTGGTGCTTTGGGGGCATCTGGAAAACCCTTTCGTCTATCCGGATGATGGACAGAAGCCTTTGGCAAACGCTTCCTATTTGTCTGGGTTTTTGTTCTGTTTGTTCTGATCAGCTGCCACCAGTGACCTCGCTTGGTGTCTTCTCAACAAATGGGCCCAACTTGTGAAAGAGCATCCTTCTCCCCAAAAGGCCCATCAGAACGTGTCTAAGTGCACCCACTGCTGCTGCCGCCACCCCTCTGAGGGACCGGTCTACAGCTGCCTGCTGGCCTCTGCCTACACAAGACTGAGAGATGCTGGGGTCAAAAGAGAACAGGAAGATCCAGCAGGCCTCTACTGAAAGGCACACAGATCCTCTTTCCCTTTTAGGACACATGGCAGCCCTCTCCAAATCCAAACGCTCTGGACAGAAATCAAACCGTGAACCACGTGTGTTCACCTCTCTGTTTATGACATTTTTCAAGGGATGGAGGTCATGGGTCCATAAGACCCTATGTAATGCAGGGCCTGCCCGGTCTCAGACAAAGCACTGCCTCGTTCTCTTTAAGGTGAAGTAAAGAACTGAACCAGCCCTAGCTAGTTTGGCTCAATGGATCAATGGATAGAGTGTCAGCCTGCAAACTGAAAGGTCCCCAGTTCAATACTGGCCAAGGGCACATGTCTGGGTTTCAGGCTCAGTCCCCAGTGGTGGTGGGGGGAGGGAGGGGGAGATGCAGGAGGCATCAGATCAATGATTTTCTCTCATCATTGATATTTCTCTCTCTTTCTCTCTCCCTTTCTCTATAAAAATCAATAAAATATTTTTTAAAAAGAAAATAAACAAACAAACCAGATTCAGCGGGAGCCAGGCCTACCCAGGCAGGAGAATTCTCTCCAGCTCCTTGCAAAGCTCTGATGCTGAGTTTGCACTGAAAAATCCTACTAACTATAGAACTTAGTAACGTGGATTCCAAGTAACTTCAAGAGAAGCTACATCAACCCATTTCCTTATAAACAGGAGGGGAGTAGACCCTTCCCAAAGGCACCCTGGTAAAGGAAGTGCAGTACCAACCACAGGGAGGGCCCGGAAGTCTTCCACCTCGAGGGCTTTACCTCCTGAAGGACACCAGGCCAGGTGTGGTAGGCCTGGTAAGGGAAGGTGCTACCCAGGAGCTCAGGGTCTGGTGAGCAAGTTTGTAAATGAATGCTGTGCAAGGTAGGGAGTGAATGTCAGAGGAAGGGGTAGCATGCCCTGCCTTGGAAGCTTAAAGAGAGATGAGATCAAGTTCTTGGAGAAGGCAGCTCAGGAGCTAAGCCTTGAAGAAGGTGGGGGGAGGGGAGGCTGTCATTGTGGGGAGGGCAGTCAGGGAACCTCTGAGAGCACCAGCAGGAAACAGAGTTTGTGAAGAGAAAGGGGCAGACCTTCACTGGCGCTCGTAGGTGGAGCTGGAGCTGGGGGAGGCGGGGTTAAAGAGGAATGCATGAACAGCACTTGAAGGATCCATCCCACCCCACCCCTGAGCAACAGGAAGTTGACCTGGGAATAAGTTTCTAATTCTTTGAAACAACCAGGCTACCTTTCTTTAGAATGGAAATCATTCTGGTGGGTGTATTCGGCAATGGGCACATTAAGTCATTGTGAATCCCAATGTGGAGGGCATCATTTCCAATGGTAGCTGCTCTACAGGAGAAAGTACTCTTTCTTTTTTTTCTCCTTGCTGATGGCTGGAATACGGGCATAAATAATGCAGCAGCCACCTTGACTCATCAAAAAACCTTGAGAAGAGAGCTTCAGGTTGGGGCACACAGGAAAGAGATTAGACTCTGATTCCAGTCAAGGCAACATGAGCCCTGGTCTGACTCTCTCCAACCTTCCTGACTTTGAAGGAAACGTAGCATCTATCTTATTGCAGTGCTTTGTTGACCTTGTTACTTCCAAATAAATCTTCTGAAATATTTAGCACCAAAGAGTAAGTGCCCAATAAAAAACGAACTCTATACCTCCTGCGCCATGCCAGCTGCCCAGAGCCCAGGGCACACCAGCCCACAGGGTAGGAGTTGTGGTGACTAGCTGCAGGCATCCTCACTGTGTCCTCCTGGGAAGGAGGAAGGGGTCATTCGGAGCTGGCAGTTTCCAACTTCTGGGGAGGCATTTGGAGTTTGGTGAAACCTGGGAAGGATGTGCTCACAGGAAAACCTGGGAAGCAACAGCCCTTCACCTGGAAAGTGTTCGTTTTGCCTGGGTTGTGAATTCTTTCATTGAGAAGAGAATTACCGTTATGTCACTGTACTACTGAAGGGAGAAGTGGATGGGTCTCAGGATTCAGAACCTCAAAATGCAGAGCCTGAAAAAGATGCAAGTTGGCAGTAGGTTCCTTGGGAAGGAT